TCTTTACTCTGATTCTGAACTGGATTCACTTCCATTTTCAGAGTAGACTTCTTCTTATTCATAAATGCTTTCTTCTGAGGGAATATCCTCAAATTGATACACCTGTACCAAATCTTGATAGTAGACAACATCATCAAATTTTGGGGTAGCTTCAAACTGTCTTATTCCTTGTCTTTTATTATCCAGGCAATCGGTCGATATATGACCTCTTGCTCCGCATGTCCAGCAATTACAGTCTTTCAAACTTTCATTGGCTCGTGTTTGAGTTCTTCTGAAAGTTCTTCTACTTGTACTTCTTTGATTAGAACCTGAAGAAGAGGCTCTACTACGGCTTGGTATTGGTCTTTGTCCGGATTTATAATTCCGGGCCTTTTGTTTTGACCAGTATCGTCTAGGTCTCCATGAAGACCTACTCTTCTTGTATCCCCGGGAGTGAGCATCTCTAGTATGCTTTCTCCGTTTGTTTCTCCGTGGATGACTCCCAATAATTGTTGGAATGTTCCGAAGTTAGGTTTTACAGGTTGATACCTCTAAGTCTTTTATAATTTTTGTGTAGTGCCTCCTGATGGCACCACTCGGATAGTTTGGCCTTGAGAAATGACATCCTTCTAGCCACCGTATCTACCTCGTCCATCTTATATTCTTTGATTAACATTTCTCTCCATGGACTGGGTATCTTTGCAAAGAACAATTGAGAGGCTTCAGAATCTGCTACCTTGGCCTTCCATCTATACTCCGTGAATAACTTGATATATTCATCTACATGACAAATGTCATGTAATTCTAAACAATAGAGGGCTTGTTTATATCTCTTTTGTTTTTCTTCCTCTACTCCTTCAAAATATCCTGTGCCGATAAATAAGATCTTAAATACTCTTGCCATATTATCGACTATTCCTTTTAATGATTCTCCAGCAATGACATCTCCTTTTACGTCTGGAGAAGCCATATCCCATGCAATTTTAACTGAACCTTCTAGGCTCATTTCGAGAAGTGAAATGAACCCTTCTTTGTTGAGATCCAATGTCCCTCCAGCAATTCTCATTGCAGAGGCCCAATCATCTATAAGGATCTCCCGATTTTTAAAATCTAAGGTATCTAGATTCAACATTAACTCATAAGGATGAATTGGATCTAGTTGCGATTTCCCATAAGGGGTATTTTGAAGGTTAGGCCTTCGGGAACGCATTCGGGTACCCGCTGGATGCCCGCTTTCTCCCCGAACCTGAAAATCCCCTTGATGGGGCATATGTTGTTCTTCAGGTTGGTGAGAACCCGAACTTTCTCCTCCAGGAGGTGGTTGGGACCTAGTTAC